CCAGAGAATGACAACTCATGGTAGGGAATGCATCTCATGGTGGACAAAATTAACACTAGGTCCTGCCTCACTCCAATTATGCAACACAAGCAGATGTACATACATATACACACACTTAAAAAGTACCATAATGAGGATAATAGAATATGCAGTTTAAAATCCTGAGGGTGTTCTTCAGATGTTAGAATTTAAGCAGTGACCACAATTGGATAGGGATGTCCTGGATCATCAACAGCCTTGAGTATTGAGATATCTTTGATTTCTTGATATTCAGATGTTTCTCCAGCATGCTTTGTCATTGAGCTTTGTTCTTTGTCACTGAACTTTTGTTCTTTGAGTGAGCAGAAGAGGAGGAGAGAGCTACCTTCAGTTACTGTCACAAATCCGCCTCATCCGCTCTGCTATAGCAAATGTTTGAAAGACAATTCATTTGTGTATTCCTGTGTCTGTGTTTATTGTCTTCAAGCTGGATAATTGTAGGCAATGCGTTTATATCTCTAACACGTGAACCTCTCATAAAAGTGTAAATCGAATAACAGATTTCTTCCCACCTGGGTGGATTCAGTCACTTTCGATAAAAATGCTAATTTCAGTTTTGACTGGTTCTTGTTTATTGATGGTTTCCTGAAACTTAGCTCAACTTGTGGTCAAGGGGCAGCACGGTGGTTCAGTGGTTAGCACTGCTGCCTCACAGCGCCAGGGACCCAGGTTTGATTCCAGCCTCGGGCGACTGTCTGTCTGTGTGGAGTTTGTACATTCTCCCTGTGTCTGTGTGGGTTTCCTCCAGGTGCTCCGCTTTCCTCCCACAGTCCAAAGATGTGCAGGGTAGGTGGATTGGCCATGCTAAATTGTCCATAGTGCCCAGGGATCTTTGAGTTAGATATGGGGAATCAGGGGTAGGGAAATGGATCTGGGTGGGATGCTCTTCGGAGAGGCGGTGTGGACTTGTTGGGCCGAATGGCCATTTTCACACTGTAGGGACTCTATGATTTTATGATTAATCACTGAGGTAACTTTTTAAGTCAGTGTATTTTTTTTAATATTTGAAATTATTTTCTCCCAGCTACTTGCCACTTTACTCCATCAGCTGCTTGCCACCCGATTCCCTCAGCTACTGGCCACCTTAACCTCTCGGTCACTTGTCACCTTAATGCCCCTCACTTTCTGTCAGTAGCACGTCAGAGTGTTTGGGACCTTTTAAGCTGTGTTTCCTTATTGGAAAATAGCAGTTATTGCATGGCTTGGGGTATTGCTGCACTGAGATTCACTCCAATGCTGCCTGTATGGTTGACTGAACTGTATCTGTTGGGTAGATCCTGTATAGGAGGCCATGCCTGGAAAACCTTGGGAAGATAAGAAGGTGCTGTTTTGTTTGGTCTCGGTTGAAATAGTGATTCTGACCCAGATTGGAAGAATTGTGCCATCTATTGATCATTTAAAGGAGGAAGTTTACAAGTCCATAACTTTCATTGCAAGCCCAACTTCCTTAGGGTGAATCTTTGGCTAACAGATGGTGAGCTTGGAGGTGGGAGAGCATTTAATTAGTTGGGGTGGTGGTGGATCTCACCCCCGCTGCCTCCCTGCCTCTGCTTAAATTGACATCTGGACAGGAAAGCCCATGGCTGAACAATTGAGATCCCCAAGTGGACAAGTAAAGACATCTTAACGGCTTCAGCCTGCTGCCGCTAGGATTAAAGCAGCTGTCAGTGGGCCTGTTGCCGGGCAGGGTGCAGCATTGACAGTACCCTTCAGGTCGTTTCTTACCTGGTGAGGTGGCGGGTGTTCCTCTATCAAAGGCAGTCAGTGCCTGATGGAGGGACTCACTGGGCAGTGAGCTTTGCTCAGACACAGACATATATACAGACACGTGCACGCGGATACAGACACACATACAGACATACACTCAAAGAGATGCGATTGGCAGCATTGGGCAGCACTTCGTCCCACAGGGTTCTGATTCTAAAGGAAGGCCCATTGTGGCCTCACCACACACTAATTGGCAATTGGTTTGGAGAACTATCCTTGGAAGAGGCGACACGGATCACTTGCCTACTGTGCACCTACCAGTTGAGACCCTCCAGTTGTTCAATATGATTCCACCCCTTAACTCCATTGGCAAACAGTTATCCATTTGCATTGTATCAATTGTGTAATTTTCGGCACTTCGGTTGTTCCACAAAGTGTGGAATTTTATACTACAGGTCTTGTAACAGATCTCCATGACCTATATTTGCTTATTTGTAAAGCTGAAGGAACTGGTGAGAAGGAGGCGCACAGATGTATTCCAGGCAAATTTTAGGAATGCTAGTGTCAATCTTGTGACACAAAGCACTGGCTTATTTATAAATACTACCTTTGTGATATAACAATGCACAGAGGAACATGGTGGCTGTGATTACTCATATTAGCAGCCCGTGCTATAGAGTCAGAATGAATACATGTTTAAAATCTGCTACATCAGCTGCAAAATGTGAACTGGGCCAAGCAGTGAAGTGTTGAGTGAAGGCTTTGTTGTCTCTGAGAAGGAAATAAAAATGGTCAAACAGAAGTGTTCTTAATGGCTATAGTGAAGTGCAAAGAAAGGTTTCAATGGAAATTGTGTAAATATTAACTGTTTGAAAAGAATTTGTAAATGTAATTATTCAGTTGTTAAATGTTACAACTTGCTGAATGGGACTATCTGTATGTCCATAGTTGGCAGCACTTTGCCTAACAGTCCAAGAAGCTATGGGTTTGACCCTTGCAGCAACCACTTGGTTAGTGGTCTCGCTTCTGAGTCTGAGGTTTGTGGGTTCAAGTCTTGGGCACAAAAATTTAGATGCTCCAGTGCACTAATGAGGGACTGCTACATTGTCACTGATATGTGAAGCATTAAATTAAGGTCCCATCTACTCTCTCAAGTGTATGTAAACACCGTATGGCACAGTTTCTAAGGAAAGTAGAAGAGTTATTCCTGGTGTACTAGCCCTCAGTCAATTTCACAAATAGATTAATCTGGTCACTTTCCCATTGCTGCTTGTCAGAGTTTTAAATGTGTACACATTTGCTGTCACGTTTCCCACATTACAGCCTTGATTACACTTCAAAAGTAGCTTGTTGGTGGTAAAGCACTTTGGGATATTCCGTGGTCATGAAAGGCCATGAGGCCAAAGATATCAATGCTTGTCTTTCTTTTCTCATAACAGGAATTCAGCGCTTAATCTAGATTGGCATTCCAGCACTGTTCTAAGGGACTGCTGCATTGTGAACCTTCGGTCGAGATACCAAACCCTTTCTACTCGTTCAGGTTTATGTTAATGATCCTATGTTACTCATTGTAAGGAAGAGCAGAGAATTCTTCCGTGGCTTAACCCTCCAACAGCCAGCACCATTGAAACATTTTTGTCGAGGGGAATACTAGTTTATAATGAGGAAATGTTGATTGCACCGTACTGCATGATACTTGGCAATCGTTTGTTATAAGTGCTACTTAGCAATAACAAACAAAAGGTTAGAATAGTTTAACCTGCAACACTTTTCTCCGTCATAATGAATTTCTCCAATTTATTGCTTCTGTATGTGAGGATTTTTTTCTTATTTAAATTGAACGTTTTAATTCAGGGATCCATAGAATTGGAAAAGTGTCTTATTTCAAGCCTAGGATATGTGGAGTCTCATTCATATGAGCCCAGCGGCTGTTCTAGTGGGATGCCAAGCAGTTGACAAAAGGTAGCCTCGGGCTATATACTCACCGCTTGTTTCACTGCTGTTGGTTCCAGGGCTGAAGACATGGGGAGTTTTCTTGCATATTTGTTAGAATAATAAAGTGGGAGAGTGCTGTGAACAGAATATGTAGCATTTTAAATAAATCCTAACTACATGGGCTCTGGTCCTGAGGTCATTTTGTACTGACGGAAAATTCCTTGTCTATTAAGTATGATTTGAAAAGCTTCCAAAACTTTGCTTCAATGAAGTTGAGGCAATACAGCTATCACTGTGTGGTGTTGAATTTCATTCTCTGTTGCTCGCACTGTAACACACGAGCACTGCTCAAACAGTCTGAAGCATAACATTTCTTTGTTTTTGATATAAATTAGTACAATGTGCATTTTGATTCTTGGTCTCACACAATATTAAGCAATATATTTTAACAATACAAATTGACCAGAGGGTGTTGTCTGTGCAAATCCACTTCCTTTTGATGCAAGGAAACAAAGTATTTAAAGGGTTAAGTCTTTCAAAAGAAGCCAAAAAGCCAATCACTCCGACTACAACCTGAGGCACTTGTTAATAAGGTCTGTGACTTCAATTGTTACCAGGTTTCTGAGCAATGTGTAAATCCTGCCTTTTTTCATGAATGACAATTAGAAATATATCGCACTCAATCTGTTTTCCTGAAACCATTCATAAAAATCAGATGGAGAAGCCTGGCCAGTACTTTTCTGGATGCTGGGGTGAGAAGGGTTGGGAATAAGCAACAGTAAACTCTTGCCCCCGCCCTCTTCTGTCTCTGCAGTCATCGATGGTCCATTTGTTGAGATTATGAGAGGATTGAGTGCTTTTTGGAGGGCAGCTGGTAAAATTACTTTGACACATACTGGGCTCCGAGCCAGTGCTGGCCTTGATTCAGACATTGTCTTTCCCCTCATTGAACTGTCAGGACCTAATTCATGGAAAAAAAAAGTCAGTGAACTGGCAGCTCTGTCAGAGTGTTTCTCTTAGCCACGGCATGCAGAAGTCAAATGAATTCAAACTGCGCAACCAAAGCCTTTCTTTTCTTAGTATAACATTTCTCCTGACGTGAAGAGATACAGAGATACACAGGTATTTGTCTATCAGTTGGCAAAGAATGAGAGATGTGCAGGCAAGTGTTTTCGAAGGAAAAGCATTTTACTGTGTGAAATTGAGTATAGGATGTTCCGTATTATGTTATACTTGACATGCTGGTATGCTTACAATTAAGGAAAGTGAGAAACAGCATGAATACTTGATGGAATCTAACTGTAATTTGTTTCTTTCAGCCACAGCAAGAGGTCCAGAAGAAGCCTGCTCAGGTATGTGAACTTTTATTGTCTTATGAATACTCAAATAAGGATTTAAGTCAAGAGATATCAGGAATAGGGGAGGTGATGAGCCTGGATTGCTTTCAAAGTTGGAGTTAATAACAAGGACATGAGCTCATGTGGGTTTCCTAATCTCAGCTGTCTGAGGAAAAAGTGATAAATTGTATAAACATGGGGACTACATGGAAGTTCATGGAGGATAATGTAAATCTTACACTACATTCTGAGGAATCTCTTCATTTTCCATCTGTTTCCTCTATTGTATCCTAACAGATGTCTTTACCACGTGGTAGTCTGGATCAGTTTTAAAAACTTCTGATCTTGAAGTAGACTTCAGGGTTTCTTTAGGTTACACATGCATGGCCCATTACTCGAGCTGGCCTTTTCTTATGCGGGAAGACTTGGCAACTGGAGTAGAAAGAGAGAACTTGATCCATAGAATTGTAGTTTGAGGTTCACATTCTTGTCAACACAGCGATGATAATCCAAATGACCGGACAAGTCAGGAAGCCTCTTTATAACATATCCAGCTTCTAAAGGAACATAATGTTCAGTTAAGAATCTGTCCAAAGCGCGCACAGGACCGGAGCAACATAATGTCTGCATTAATTTCAAAGCATCAGCATTACTACAATTTCTTGGCCGTAAGCCATAAGCCATATTACAGCACCAGCAATTCCGGTAAAGCCTCTATAGACTGAACATTTGTCTGCCATATTGAGAATTTCACTTGTCTCTTTTAATGGAACATTTTCTGCTGGCATTAGTGGTCACTAATTTCTGCAAACAAGTATACAGCTGATGTTTTATAGGCGTTATTTAATGCACTTGGTGAACTGGCAAACTGTTTAATTATGTCGTCCCTTACAGTCAATCCTGACCTTGTTCTTATCCAGGAGCCACAAATGCACTTTCGAGCAAGCATTGCTTGATGATATTGAGCAGCAGAGACCCTGGCCCTTCCCTCCCACCAAGATGTATCATATTGAAGCAAGTATCTGTTTATGGCAACTAAGCAATTAGGGGTGCTTAACTTTAGCATGTTTAAAATTGATTTGCTGCTTTTTTCAATTTTGTTTAGCCAAAGTGACACATGGAAATACCATCACTTCATCCTAGAGTCTCCAAACCTAGTCTCCACAGATTAGATTTTCTGTTTGTATAGCACAAAGTGCATATGCACTCCCTGTAGGAACACAATTTGCCAGTGCACTATTGATCTTTCCTCTGCTTGACAAGCAGAGATTATTCTAGTCATTTGAGCAAGTCCCCTGTGACAGACCTGCCTCTCTCAAGGCTCCATTAGTGAGCCAGAGTGGCTGGTCAAATATCAAAAGTGCCCTCAAATCTTATTTACCTATTTACAGGGTCAACAAAAGAATTGTACTCCATCTGGCAAGTCCCTCGTACTAATGTTTCTCAATCCCCTCAAATATGTATTCAATTTTCCCACATTATAGGTCTCCCTAGGCACTCCATTCCACATGTTCACCATCCTTTAAATATAACCTGTTGGAAGTGTCTTCCTCCTAAGCATGGGGCCTGGATAGAGTGCATGGGAAAGACCTATTTCCCATAGCAGGAAGGTCAGCAAGCAAGGGACATAGATTTGAAGTAATTGGTAGCACGATTAGAGTGGAGCTGAGGAGCAACATGGTCACAAAGAAGGTGGGCGTGCCACTGCCTGAAAGGTAAATAAAGGCAGAAAATCTCCATTGCATATAAAACAAAACGCTTGGATATATATTTGAACTGCTCCACAAACCTTACTCTCTCTACCACTATCACTCAATAGCAGCAGTATCCCATCTACAAGATGCACTGCAGAAATTTATAAATGCTCCTTAGACAGCTCCTTCCAAACCCACGACTGCTACCATCTAAAAGTTGGATGTGGAAGCTTTTATTCCTCTCTGTTACAGCTAAAACCTGGGATTCTCTTCTTGTTGCTAGAATTACACATGAGATAATACTGAAATTATTAATTTCAGTGAAATACTGAATTTGTCTTTGCCAAGAGTGTGTTTATGGGATGTTACTATATTGGAACAGTTAATTAGTAGTGGTTTGTATATATTTTGTTAAGCATTTGGATAGAATAGAATTACAGTTAAGCCAATTTTTTTTTATTTTGTTCTGTATTGTTTTGTTTCAAGACTGGTTGTTTGACCAATCGAATTGCATCTGGAATGCAGCGCCTTATGTTTACCTTTAAAATAAGAAAAAGTTAGGGTCTAGACTATCTTCTTAATATATTTAGAGGGAGTTTGGTCTGATCCATAACAAATTAGGGCTTTTGCAGGGATCAAAATCTCACAATCCAGGTTGGGCTTAGGACTATTGGACTCTAAGGCAGTGAGTGTTGAATGTGGGTATTCACTTCTGGGGTGTAGAATTTGGTTGGTTTAAATGTTGTGTCCTGTGTAGTAGTGGCGTTTTCAGTCACTAAGAGTTTTCTTGGGGTAAGAAGTCACTTTGGGAGTTCTGCAGAAAGTGAGCCAGCAAAACTTTTGAAATTGGCAGACAAGCTGGAGTTGGGATTGCTTTTATCCATGTGAAAAGAGGTCATTGCAGCAATAGCTCGACACTTATGACTGCTAGAAATGCCATCGGAATCTTTGGAAATGGCTAAAATTCAATTGCAAATGAAGCAGCATGAGCATGAAAAGGAAATGAAACAGTTTGAATTATGATTGAAAGTAGAGAAAAAAGAAAAGGAAAGGAAGGCTCTAGCAGTAGAAAGAGGGCGTTTTTGTACTTGAGGTTGGAGCTGAAAAACTCAAAGTCAACTTAAAATGGTGGAGGCAGAGGTGAAAGGTTGGAGTAGTGATGAGGACATTAATGGAAAGCAATCCCATCATAGCCAAAGACCTGGTGGGGATCTGTTTAAATATGTGCAAACATTGCTGAAGTTCAACAAGAAGCATGTAGAAGCCTTTTTCGTTTCATTTGAAAAAGTGGCTAGACAAATGAAATGGCTGGTGACCGTGTCGGTAATGTTGATCACAACAATGTTGGTAGGTAGAGCTAGTGAGGTATTTGCATCACTATCAGAGGAAGTATCTGTGAAGTATACTGAGTTGAGAAAAGCCAGGGGGGCATAGTGGCTCAGTGGTTAGCACTGCTAACAGCACCAGGGACCCAAGTTCAGTTCCACCCACAGGCAACTGTCTGTGTGGAATTTGCACGTTCTCCCCGTGGTTTCCTCCAGGTGCTCTGCTTTCCTCCTACAGTCCAAAAATGTGCAGGTTAGGTGGATTAGTCATGTTAATTTTCCCATTGTGTCCAGGATGTGTAGGTTAGGTAGATTAGCCATGAGAAATGCAGGGTTACAGGAATAGGGTAGTGGGGGGCAGTGGTTGAGACTGCTGTTCGGAGAGTCGGTGTGGACCTGTTGGGCCAAGTGGCCTGTTCCAACATTGTACGGATTCTATGGATGCCATCTTAAGTGCTTATGAGCTAGTACCAAAAGCCTACAAACAACGTTTCAGGAATCTAAAGAGGGAACCTGATCAAGTGTACACTGAGTTTGAAAGGATCAAACAAAGTAATTTTGATAAGTGGATAAAGGTGCTGAAAATAGATCAAACATACAGTATGATGCTCTTAGGGAGACAATTATTTCGGAGGAGTTCAAAAATTCACTTCGTGAAGTAGTGAGAACTTGTGGAAGAGCAGAGAGTTAAGAATGCAAAATTAGCAGTAGAAATTGGAGATGATTGAGTTGGTTCATAAATCAAAGTTAGGCTTCTGGCATCAGTTTCAATCTGTGAGGGGTGGGAATTGGGGGAGGAGAAAAATAAATCCTCAGGCAGTAAGGGAAAAGGAAATATCATTGAAGATAAAGAGAGTTTACCACCAGGTAAAAAGGAAAGAGAAGTCAAAAAGCTCAGGTGTTTTCAATAATAAAGAGGGCCACATGAAGTTGCAGTGTTGGTGGTTTAGAAAAAGCACTGAGAAGACAGATGTGGGAAAACAGGATAAGCCAGTGAGTTTTGTTGAATTAGTAAAGGAAAGCTCAGTGGAAGCTAAAAAGCTGCAAAAGAAATGTACAGCCCAATCAGGGCTTGGTTGAGAAGAAAGTGCCAGATGTCTTTAAAGAATTTACTTGTGTGGGTAAAGTTTACTCATGTTTGCCAGGAAGAGCTGGTAAAGAAATTAGATTTTAAGAGATAGGGGAACAAGTCAATCTTTGGTGAGAGATGGGGAGATATGTAATTTAGAAGGAGTATTGTCAGAAAACATGGTAATATGTGGAATTCACGGTGAGAAGAGTGGTATTTCATTGTATAATGTGAAGTTGGAGACTCCAGTGAAAAGTTGTAAGTGGTGATAGGAGTAATAGAGAAATTCTTGGTATGAAAAATGTGCCCGCTACGTTTCAAAGACTAACCAATAAAAGTCTTTTCGGGATTACCCAATTGTATGGTGTATATCGATGATCTGGTAATTTTTAGTCACTCATGGAAGGAACATTTGGAGCATCTGTCAGAATGGTTCGATTTGAGGAGGCAGGCTTGGTGATAAACCTGGCTAAGAGTGAGTTTGCAAAAGCCGAAGTCATATTCCTGGCCATTTCATTGGACATGGACAGGTGGCTCCACAAAATGTGAAAACAGAGGTTATTGGGGAGTTCCCTATACCATTGACGAGGAGGACAATACTACAATTCCAGGAATTGGGTGGTTTTTATCAGAAGTTCGTACCAAATTTTAGCAGCCTGGTTGCTCCACTGATTGATGGACTTACTGAAGAAGTGCAGAAAATTTCAGTGGACGGGCGAATATCAGAAGGCATTTAGCGGTCTGAACGCTGTGTTAACCACGGTTCCAGTGTTAGCTACACCCAATTACACAAAGCCATTCAAAGTGACTATTGATGACTATTGTGGGTGTACTGTTGCAAGAAGACAATGAGAATATATAAAGACCTATAGGGTATTTTTCTAGAAAATTGAATAATCGTCAGAAATATTCCACGATTCAGAAGGA